AGGTTTCCCAACCCCCCCCCCCCCCCCCGTTCTACTCCCCCCCTAATTAGGGCAACATAGGGAAACGGTACTCGACACACTTGTGCGTCGGTGCCTTTCCCTGTGTTGTTCCTGTTCTAGTCTTCTCTACCCGGGCGGTCTAAGACTAAAGTCCCGCTCCCTAACTACTGCACTTAACTATTTTCGGCTAAGTAATCAGTAACTCTAGAGTGCTAGGTAGTCAGACACACACACATGTACACACACATGAACATACATCCCGTCCCTGCCCCCCCCACTTTCTTCTTGCGCTTTCCGTCGTTTGTTGGGCTTTCTCTCAGGCTTTTTAGGTTGCTCTTCAGGCTCGTTTCCCTACCCCAGTCAAGGGCTAAGTATTCACTTTTTTCTGCACCTATCTGTCTTTCTTGCCCTCTTAGCGCTGCTCTTTCTGTCTTTCCTTTCTTTTGTTTCTAAGGCTTTTTAGGTGACTATCTTACGTTTTATGCCAGAGAGCCGCAAAGCGGCGGAGTGTGTATATCACACTCTATACCTAAGCGTTTTCCTTGTTTGATTCCAGCAGGGGCGCCGATCACGGCGAACTGTGTGTGTCAACCCCTGTGCCTAAGGGTTTGGATTCACCTCAAACCAATTTCCAGCAGGGGGCATGGCAGCTGTTTCCCTAGCCATGCCAACGAAGCTATGGGATTCAGCCGGAAGGGAATGTGGACGCACATTCCTGTACCTGCAACGTGAACTGTTTTCAAGCTGTGACGCCACTCTCCACGTTATGGTTCATGGTCCTTCACGTTTCCACCCCCAAACTTTGGTTTTGCAGCTGAGTTGCGCCGCTCGTTCACCACCGCTGAGCTCTGCAGTCACGCACAAACAGCTTGTTCAACTTTTCAAGTGAACCGACTTTCTCACCATGCCGTCACCATTTTCGACCTGGGAATTGAGTGTAACTGAATACAATTGTCAGAGTGTGGGTGTGACACCCCACCCAGCTTCTAATCCCCCAGAGATCCGAATATGTGGCGTGGTGCACCAGCCGTTCCCTCACGCCTTTTCATTCCAAGGACAATAATGTGATTTTCCGGCAGAACTCGTCCTTCAACCACCAGTCACCACTGGTCATGAGAGCAACACCTTCAAGAGACATTTGCCCTGGTTGGAAGATGTTGGAAGAAAATACCCTTCGTTGGAAAAACGCCTCCAGTTGGGCCAAACTCAGGAGTTGGGCCAAACTTGGCAGAGTTTGGTCGAGCTCCTCGAGCCGCGCCCTGTTAGCGCCATGCAGAGCACGCCGCGTGCAGAGAGCGGCGTTCCGCCGCGGTTTCCGGAGCTGCGGTCCCGACGCGGCCCCTTGCAGGGTTTGACGCCCAGGCGCAGGTATTGAGATACGCCTCCAAGCTCCTATGAGTAGAAATGGGAAGTGGAAGTTGATCGGTGTCAGCAGATCTGATCTGCCGTGGATTTTGAGGTGTTTACTTTTCTGAAGCATCTTAAACAAAAGTACATGCCGTGAGGACGCTTGGAAAAATTTTGAGGGAATGAAGCTGTATATACTTTTCGCTGTGCTACACACAGCCCAACAGACTCGAGCTCTTGCTGGGTGGGTGATGGAATGCTTGACTCCCACCATGCCTCCCAAGCAAGAGCCTGTGTTCACTGCACCTTGTGGAGTGTCCCATGGTGCAATTTTCCCTGAGCTGTCTGCCAAAAGGCAGGATTGCTAGCTCAATACTTGGATTAGAGCGTAGCTGGGTGGTTTCAAAGCTGCTTCTATCAAGTAACTTTATGAAAATCAGGTATCATGACTTTTTCTAATTTTTCCCGCTGGAGCGGGTATGTGAGATGAGGTATGCGTTGGCTGCGGGACCCATGGGGAAACTTGCAGATGTTAGACATCCATGTCCAAGAACGAGAGGCCCGACTCGAAAGGTCCATCACTAAAGAATTGGTTCGCCTCCTACAGGAGTATGGGCCAGAGGTTTTGAACCTAAATTTAAATGCCTAATTACATCTCCTTGGACCCCTGGAAACAGCTTGTAAGTTCCAGGTACAATCGCGGTTGGAGCAGAACGCATGTGTTGTTTTTTTCAGTCTCCTACCATTGTGTCAAGCTTGGAAGATCTTTCAGCGCTGTCTCGCGAAGCCACCCAAAAACGAAGAAGAACAGATGGATCCAAGAGCTGCTGGCCGTATCTCTTAGACTCGTAGGTCTTAGGTCATGTATTTGAACTCAGGAGGGTCTATGTCCTTTTCTCAAACTGCATGCCCCTGAGGGCTGGAGGTTTACCAAGGGCTCCGATTGCCACTATGGGTGACCTGAATGTGGCATGGTGGGACCTGTAATTCTTGGGGGTCTCTAACAACTGAGCTGCCGAGATTGGTGGTCAAGTTGATTGGGTAGTGAGGTACATAGTGGTGTGTTTGTTCCTAAAAGCAACCAATGAGCAATGTGTCCAAAAACTGTGAGCAAGAGTTTGGTTCGTTTCAACTCGTGGCAAGACGCCGCGCACTTGGATCAACTGCCAGCCTGCCGTTAGCTTATATACTTTTTGAAAGAAGGAGAGGTCGCCCGGGCTTCTTTCAGGCAATCTGAGTAGTGTCCGGCGATGCATCACTTGCAGCGAGGCCGTAGTTTGGAGCGGTTACTCAAGTGAACTGACACCTGGAATCATCAAGTTCTCTTCGTACAGTTCCCCCTCCTGGCTTGCAGGCCCAGACCACCAAATGCGGTGGTAGAGGACCCTAGGCTTCACATTGGTTCTCAAAGTACCTTCAAACATGTTGCTTTTATGAAACCGAAAAGGCAAGAACTAGATTTCCTGGGTGGAAACAAGAGTCACAGCTCTTTTGCGATGGACTATTGAACCATATTGAAGTCGTTTTGGGCTGAGGTTACTTTATTGATATTGTTGTCACTGTGTAAAAGCAAAAAATGAAGCAGTGCTTTTTTTGAGAGGGGCAGGGTCGGGGTTCTGGAAACATCTGGAAATCTTGCTCCTCCCAACACTTCTAGCTCTCCAAACCAAATTCCCTTGAAATCAAAGGGACATCAAAAGGAGTTCACAGATGTTCACAGGAAATCCTTTTGATAAACCTCAAAATCACTAGTTGTTTAGGATTTGATTTGACTCCCCAATATTTGGATTCTGGCAGTTCATCTCTTTGGGATTTCCCCGGATGTTCGGATCAATTGAGATATTTGGGGGTTGAGATGTCCTTTCCTTGGGACTGGGGTGCCTTCCTCAGCAAATTCGTTCCTGAGTTTTCACACGTTTAAATGCAACCCGGTGTTTGTTTGTGTTTTATTGCTTCTTTTGCTGGTTTCGTCAACGGATGCACTCACATATTCTCAGATACCAAGAGTTCACTCAAATGTTCTGAAAGTTTGATTGCAATCTCAGCAGTGAAATGAGAGCATTTTGTCCATTTGGTTGCTTCTTTTCCCATAAATACGTCTCAGTAACCACTGTAGGGTTGGATAGGTTGAGTCATTGGTGCTGGTGCGCTGTTTTCACGTGCTGTTTCCTTTCGGCGAACAAGAGTATCGTTTTTGGCCAAAGGACACCAGGGCAGCTCGCACCTAAAAGCTTAGATACAATTTCATTGCGTGCTATTGCCGCTGCCTGAATGACGTGTTGGGTTGATCAAAGCCTTTCGAAGTCCATAGCAAAGCGCTTCCTAAATTGATCTATATAATTTCTATATAAAAGGGCATCGCTACTAGTAGCAAGGACGCTGCTAGGGGCTCCTGGCATCGCTACTAGGAGCAAGGACGCTTGCGAGCTGCTTTTGTGTGATGCATCGAGCCGAATCGCTGAGAAGCGGTATCTTTGCGGCTTGCGACACAGCCTCAGTGTTTATCTCTCCGAACGGTCGGCCCCGCATCCCACTATAGTTGGTAAATGATTCTCAGATAGTCTCAGATTTGCATAGAGAATCATGTATGTGTGCGTATCTTATGTTGACTCGTGTTTACAGGGTTGGATTGTGGGAGCCAAGATCATTCTCACCCCCCAGGGTCAGTGCTGTTTATGTTGATGCTTATCGCGACGATGCGATGATTTGATTCGACATCGCGATGTCAGCGGCGGATCTCGCTTTTTGGCTGGTAGCGTCGCATCAGCAGGGTGTAGGGGCGGGCCTGCATTGCGGCTCCATGCAACTTAGGGCAGCATCGGGTGTTGAGCCTTTATGTTTGGCACACTGCGGGCTAGACAGGTATCCAGCTGCCAGGACGCAGGTCATCCCCCTATCATTGGACAGGCACTGCAGTGATGTTTTGGTCATTTCGCTTGCGCGGGTTTTGGACAATGTGCTTGCAGGCAGAGTTCCTGCAACTGTGCGGATCAAAATGTGCCAATTAGAGTTTGATATGGGTGGGCCAACTTGGCAGCTTGACCCCCAGCAAAAGTTTGCCCCGCCAGTAAAACTACACAACCAACATATTGGTGTGCACTTCCTCATGTTGAGTCAAATAAGTTTAGTACGTAGTTACATAGACTCGCCTTGTATTTGTTCGAGAAATGAATGGCAGACTCTTTGGAGCACAGCGTGAATACATTGTATCTATGGTCTTTGAGTTTTCCGCCTTGATGGGTATCTGAGTCAACATATGAGGCAGCTCATAGTATGCACTTATCAACGTATATACACACATATTGTAGGTTCCGGCAGCTAGGCCTTGCAAAAAGCATCAAAAACAAACAAGTACCCTGTCAACAATGCTTCAAGGAATTCTAAACAGATCAAACATAATCCATGTCAAGGAGATTCGTTGAAAAGCGGCAAATGTCACCGTCCATGTTCATTATCGTAGAAAGTGCTATTTCTGACACCAACTCTTAGTTTTTGAAATGTATATGGGAAAAAGACAGAAACAGTGAGTTTGCTACCATGTATTATGTCCAGCCAAAGTCGCACCTGGCAAAGATCCCATGCCGATCCAGTACTGCCGCTCGGTTGGTGTATCAGCTCGTGTCGAGTGCCCAACGAGTGTTGGTCATTGCCAGGTGCAAGCCGTTGAGAGCGGCTACTGGCCGCTGTATCGCTACAACCCCGACAAGGCACGTAGTTGCCACTACAGTCCGTATGGGTGGGCTACACTTACTTCGTGCTGCGTGCTACACGTACTACTTCACTTGTTGGTATTATTAGGCTTACTATTTGTGCTAGAAGTACCAGTCACTACCACTACAACTGCTACTACATTGACTGGTGTTTCTACTAATCTTAGCTGTTATTGCTGCTGGGAATACGACTACTGCGACGGCTGCTGCTGCTACACTGCTACTGCTACTATCTTTCTACAAACATGACAACCACTACTGTATGCAACACAGTACTTCTAGCATCAAGAGGCATGGGTCAACCCCACACCAATCGACTAAGGGATTATCTAAGGTTTAGGGTTTGCACTCTTAATTGCATGGAATTGCTGAAACCTTGATTGTTGGACCAAATTGAACTGTACATGTCTAGAGTCTGTCTAGAGTGAACGCGTCGTAATGTTACAACATCTTCGTCAGTTGAAACGCCAAGGTCCCTTTTGTATCCTTTGGTGTGCATATTTACAAGGAATTTACTGATCTCTTAAAGCGCATCAGGCAAACAATGAGTCCTGCGCATACTTCTGCTAGTAACTAGTAGAAGTACTCTTGCTGGGAAAGCAAGAAAGCCTGCGATACTCGAGATTCGAAATGCCAGTCTAGCTTCAAATATTGGCTCTTTGTGCACCCAAAGTCATTGTTTGTGACCTCCATGTGTTGGAGATACGGAGATGAGGGAATCGACTGCGGACATCCCAGAAGCTGGTTTAGGTCATGGACACACACAGCGGCTTGGTCACCAGGTCACTACTGAACACAACGGCTTCGAGTTGGACAACAAGCGGATCAGCCCAGATGCCATGGATGCGCTCATGCGGAATGAGCCACTTGATGTCAGACCAATGGGGATTGGCCTCACTCATGTGATTTGTGTAGATCCTAGTTGCGAAGGGGGGTTGCAGTAATGGTATTGCAGCATTGCATCATTTCCTCTAGACGCTCTAAAGGCTTCATACAATTTGTTTGATGATTTGATGATCGAGTTGCAGTCAAATCAAGCGGGATGCATGAGCGTTTCAAGCATCACTGGAAGCCAGAACCAGCACGAAAGACAGCCCAGCCCAATGTTGCTTTTGTTGCTTGCAGGAACATCAGATCCGAGTATTGTAGGGTTGATGGAGGATGTCCAACAGCGAGTGATTCCCAATGCATCCCTGGAAAGCAACACTTCAAATTACACCTACCACAACCAGCATCTCGGGATGTATTTTTGTTGCACCCCTCAAACTGCCTGGTATTGGTTTTCGGCAGTTTCAATTGGAATGGAACAATCTTGCTGCAGCATGTCTTAAATGTCTTAATCGTTCGGATTGGAAACTGTACAATGTTTCGGATTGTTCAGGTTGATGTGCACGTAGTGCATTAGTGCATTCTGCATGCTCTTTCAAGAAAGTGGAGTCCATTTAAAGTATCTCTAGACAACGCTTTGTGTCCCTCCCCCCCACACTCAAGGTCAATTCGCATTTACTGCCATGCCCTGACCGGTTTGACTTCGCTTGACACCTCGCTGACTCCCACTTTGAGAGGGCCCTGCTAGTTGCGTCCAGTGCCACTAATCCCCAGCAGCAACCCTGTTTTGTCAATTTTCTTCAATTTCAATCTCTTGGACCTTGGATGACAACCTTGCGAAGGAAGAAGAGATTGTCAAGATTATGACAATGTTACCTCGTGTGATGACGTTTTTGGAACCAATGATGTGAACGTAATGCTGTGGAGTTGATGACAAGGAAGAAGTGAAGTGGATGCAACAACAAACGCAACCATGTCCGCAAGTGCATCGAAGTGGTCTGGTTTTCAGTCCGCAAGTTTATCCATGGATGTGGAAAATAGACCCTTCGGTATTGTGTTCACATTCCATATTAAGTCTATGTAAGGTTGACAGTTTGAGCAAACAGACACGTCGGTGCTGCGGGTTTGGCAGGAATCGCTTCACTTCCTTGCAGCGGACGGCGCCTGAGTTCGCGAAGATGCTGCAGAGCGCCATGAAAGATGAGCGTCTTGGAGGATTCATTTGAAACTCAAAAAATAGAGGTGTCTTTCCATTTTCGGGGAAAAGGTTTCGTTGTTTTGATCGTCAAACATGGCTGTGATACTAGTTCCAGGGGTACTAGATGAACCACGCATGTAAGGGCCTCCTTCCTTTCGCCCAGTGAATCCCAGTTCAAACTGAGCAACTGGGCTTTCTTGTGGTAAACCAAGCTTAGAGCTTCATTGGGTTCCTGGTTTCCTGCGAACTGTTGAGGCTGCCTTTCAGGTTCAGCTAGTAGACATAGGAAAAGCAGTGTGATGATTGAACCGGGTGTTTTTGTGTAGGGTGGGAGGGCAATGCCAAATATATACCACAATCCAGTGGACACAGTTGTCATGGCAGGCTAATTATACAAAAACTCTAATGCTGGAATCCCTCAGTGTTGTAAAGCATTGGTTGGATGTTTATCTATATAATTCTATATATATACACAGGTCTAGACATATTGCATACATATTGCATATTATTATAAGTATTGTTCAAGGCCGATCGGCTCCTCTCCCTTGCAGCAAATGGGACTGGTGAGTGGATTGTGCCTCTCATATAGGGTGGTTCCAGTGGGACAGACGTGCTACATAGTAATGCAAGATCTGGGGGAATGTGGATTGACTTTAACCAGGTGCTTTGGTTTGGGTGCGATGCCCGGCACTTAGAGGTTTCTTAAGGCACTACACATGGTATTGGATGATTTGTTTAATGTATTTTTCTTACTGTTCTTTATGCTCTCTGCCTGAATGTCACACAATTGGATTGAGCATACAAACTGACTGCATAGATCACCTGGCTTAGCAAGTGATATCCGTTTGCACTACGTGAGCCTGACAGGAAGGAAACAGGTTGGCTGCATTGTCATACATAAGGTCGTGTGCCAGATAACTTAGTTCATGGTGCATTTTCATCGAACAATCTGACACGTCTGGAGGGGTCATGAAAGCGTGTTACCACCACCAGGCCCTGAAAATGGGGCCCTCCTGCAAAGTTTGCAGCGGTTGACGCGCGTATCAGGCACGCAGCGCATGAGGTTCCACGCGAGACACGAGGCACGGAGACGCAAAGCCATGGCTGATGAGGATCTCTTGGAATATTTGAAGAAGTGCATGGGTGAACAGGCCGGGCCTCGCGGTTCGGTGATTGCTATTTCTTTTTGGCTGGGGTCCTTGACTCTGAGTAGCTTAGTTAGATTCTATGAAGACAACGATCAGAAGATGTGATTTCATCACCCTCAATCCAAACAGGTGACTTGGGTCGGTGAGGGTGAATCCATTCATGGGTCTGACACGTCTGGACCGCTGGGGCTTGAATGATTTGCAAAACATGTAAATTGGAATGCATTCAGGCTTGAAGTTCGGCAATGACCAAAGAATGAAGTGTAATGTTAACCTTTGATTAATAAAGATCCCCACAATAATGACTTTTTTTTTCCTGCACTGATTAATAAAGGCCCCCAGAATAATGTCTTTTTTTTTTGGAGGGATAGTTTTTTTGGTGATTTTTTCATTGTTATATATTGTTATTTTTACTCTCTGGCTTATTGATTTTTTAGATCTTTGGATGCAGATTTCCAGTGGCAGCAAAAGATTTTTTGGGATTTTGAAGGTCTTTGGATGCAGATTTCCTTTAGGAATTGGAGAT